CCATCCCATAATTCAAAGTATTTTTTTTAAATGTATTATGTGCATGAAGTTGATATTGACTCTTAACAACCACATAGATTTTTCTCCATGATAATTTGTCACTAATATGGTCCTTCAATCTACTAACCATGCACCTATTGCTACTGTAACTGAAACTACCCACCTTGCTGCTGATCATCCTCTTCTTCTCTTTCTTTCAACCTTCCCCAGAGAGCTAGATCTTTGCCTGATGCTCCCCTAGTACTATAATTTGAACCTTGTCATTTGTGCCTCAAGTGAGAATTCTGGATTGATTTGTTCAGTGTTCCATTTTTTTTCTTGTTTGTCCATGGTATTTTCAGGATTTTTTTCCAATATCAAAGTTCAGAAGGGTCAATAGTCTTTCAATCATGCTTCTCCGAAGTCCAACTTTTAAATATAATTTTAAATATTTTTCTCTCCCAGCTGATCAGTAAATGAATTAATCTATAAAGCTATTTGCAAATATGTTTTCTGGCAAACTAAAAAGACAGATGTAACATAATGGGCCCTACACAAATTCTGGAGTGGAAGGTCCGGTACATTCCTTATTACATACGCATATGACTTGGCTGCATGGCTGCAGTTCCTAAATCTCACTAATCAAATGCAATAGGTAAATACACTACATAGAACAACAGATGGAAGTATTTCTGAATATGCATGCTTATGACTGTGCTGAAAATATTACAGCAAATGCCAAGAGATGACTAGGTTCATACAGGTTCATACATACTACATAATGCGGTTTGCTTGATTTTGGCTTATACCCCAGGCAAGTGACAGAACGTGCATTGTGACATCAGGATGCAAATACAAAAAGCTGGTGTTTGCATTGTGGTATCATAATATTTGTTTCATCATTCTTTGGTCATAACAATTAAAGTGGATGCCTTTATTTAAGTTATCTATATCCAGTCATTGTACTTGTAAATCATGGTTTGCAGCATAGCATATGAGTTTACAGTATGTAACATAATGAGCCGTAATTGATTAGGTGACAAACCAGAAGGCTAAGAACACCCAATATGCTAAATGAGACTAAATAAACCTTTCAAACTAGTCCCCACGTCTAGCCTTCTGTTGTCTTCTTGTGTGCCAGATACCAGAGCACGGAAAGCCCTGGGCTCCAGCTGGTGTTTCTAAATGTCAGATCTGCCCATGATAAATCTTTCTTCATTCACAATTTGAATAAGAACAAGAGGCAAACCTGGTACATACAATCTAGGTGGCAAAGGAATGTTTGTGCCTTTTACGGAGATGTGCTGATTTGGATTTTAGGTTTTGCACTAGAATGACCCCAAAGCAGAAGAGAAGAAATAGGGACAATCATGCAAGAAACTCTGCAGGTAGTCAAAGATACTGGCTGTGAGGCCTTATTTGTGAGGTTCAGTTTTTACGGTTACCGAGGGGACTGGTGAAATAGGTTGTCAGCTTCAAATGCTGACAGGCAGTCAGTCAACTCAGGTAGACAGAGGACACAATGGGCATGAGTAGGTGAGGGCAGAGTTAGATGGTGAAGGGCCAGTTCCTTGCAGGGTGCTTGGCCCTAAGACATCTTGCAGCTTCAAAGAACAGAGTGATGGTGATTGGCTTAGCTAACTACAAAAGCAATGGCGATGCTTGTAAATGAGCTGTGCTCACAGATGTAGCTACATAGAAGCAATGGCCAAGACCTGATTCTCTATTGGAAATAATAATTAGCCCTGTATTACTTATCCTTGCTCTACTTGTGGAGTCTAGGCTGTACAACTCAAACTAGCTTTGGAACTTTCTAGTGTTGAATCCTGAATTGAAATAAACTACCTGTTTCTCTGTTTCTCTTCTTTCTTTATCTTGCCCCATTTTTCTGAACCTACATACCATTAGTTTTCCACATCCTAACCCTGCCTCTTGTCTATTATACCTGTAGGACTGGACTGGGGTCTTTGGATTCTTGGCTTTGGATTCTTGAACTCTTAGCTTTAACCTATATTGGCTCTATGAGCACTATACCCTAGCTACAAGATCTTGTCTTCCCTGTGTTTCTCCTGAAGTGTATATGCAAATACATTCTGTCTGCTTTTTTAGTTGCAAAATCAACATCAGACTAGTTTCATCTTAGATTAGTGTGACTGTTCAGTCTAGGAAAGAATAAAAGCTGGGGTTGCTGTTGCTGTATTAGTTTCCCTGTTGCACAGTGGCATCACTATCCAAACTCAAATTCAAGTCCTCCCTTAACCATGAAAGCCAGTGGGATGGCTTTGGGTCAGTCACTGTTTCTTAGCTCACCTCACAGGGTTGTTGCTGTGGGAAAAATAGGAAGATAAAGTTATGTTGTATACGTTTTCCACCTTGAGTTATAGAGAAATAATAAAGGTGAGATTAAAATAAAATAAAGTAAATTGCTGGGCCTCATTGGAAAGGTGATGTTGGGTGTCCCAGTCTTTTGTTGCTTGGGAAGTTCAATTTATCTTTCCTAGGAAGAGCACATCTCATATTCTTGGCCACTGGGGACTTGTCTTAAGGGATTACAGGGGATTATCCATCAATCCTGCCTTGGAGCAGTTGAGATGAAATCTGAAAGTGGAGGTCATTAGCATCAGTCCTTTTTTTTAAAAAAAAATTTTTTTATTAATTTTCTGTTATTACAATTCATTAGTGCTTAATGAATGTGTTGTCTGGGTTAATTTTTTGCTTAGTAATATTAGTCCTTTTTTCATGGTTACATCATTGTCCAGTATTTATAGAATTTTCTTATGCAAGGAGGAGAGACCTATTCAATCAATCCATCCCAGGGACTTAATGGATTAAAAGAATTTCCAAAGGGAAATTCCTGGAGTATTTATGAGTGATTCTGTAGAGTGCTTAGTTGACCTCTGAAATAAATGATTCACAATAGCTCCTTAGAACAGGGGTGTCAAACTGCCGGCCCACGGGCCGGACGCATCATCCGGAAGCCGCTCCCATCCACTGCCGGCAATGGCAAAACCATCCCGATACGTTGCGCGACATCACAAGTTTGACATGTCTGCCTTAGAAGATTGCTCCTGAACATCCTCTCCCTGTTTGTTGATCTTCAGAAAACCAAAAGGCAAAAGAGAGTTTTGGGATTATAGAATTGGAAGAGATCTTAAATGTCATTGGGTCTAATGCTCTTTATCAGTGAAGGTTCTACTAACTAGAGCATCTCTAACGAACGACCTCCACCTGCTTGAAAAGTTCTAGCCAAGAAGAACTCAATCCACTACCAGTTCATATTATAGGAAGCACTTCCTTATACCTAGCATGTAGTTTTAACATCACTGGTTTGGATATTTTCCTTCTTCTGTGTGACACCTTCAGATATTTAAAACTGCTATTGTATCTCCCCTTGGTCTTTTTTCCCTGAAGGCTAAACATAATAGGTTCTTTTAATTGTTCCTCACAGGACTTGATTTCCAGGCCCTTCACCATCTTGATAGACCTCCTCATGCTCCAATTTGTCACTAGTTTTGAAATATTGTGTTCTGAGCATCTGTATTCAATAATGGTATATAGAATTTACAATATTGTATGATTTGATGTTTGTTTATTTCTAAGTTGCTCATTGCTCCTGTTGCTCATCCTAAATGCATTTAGCTATGGTAGTTTGTTGTCATTTGCCAAGGGTGCCAACATATTTAACTTAAAATTGTTGCTAATTACTGTGATTTATGGGAAATATATTATTTCAACATCAGTAAAAAGTGATTCAAGGCCTTCTCATATTGGGGCTAAGATGAAGGCAAAGCAACAGGGACACAGAATAGAAATATTGCCAAGGGATTGGGGGAAGAATCCAGAGAAAGAAATATTTTGGGGAATATTAAAAAGGCAAAATATATTTCTCCAAAGGAATAATGGAGATCTTTAAAAAGGCAGAAACTTCTCCCCACCCCCAGCCAGAAAATACAGCAGAAACCAACTTTTAGAAATGCAGATGTAATAATCCATTCAGGAAGGTTGGAGCCAGGAAGCTAGAAGCTGATGATATTAGGACCCCTAAAATCTACATACCCCACCCAAACTGTTAAAGACATGATCTTTGGGGACATAATAGGATTAACCCATCAATACCAAAAGGGCACACTCACTCAAATCAAAGTACATGACACAGGAAATAGAAAAGCCTCAAACAGGAACAGGAATCACTTCAAAAGCCCAAGAAGGTATAAAAACCCACCACTCCCAGCTACATGTGGTCAGCTTTCCCAGAGCTACGCTCCTGTCTGGCTTTGTTCTTCAATAAACTCCAACCTTCTTTCTAAAGCAGTCTCCATTTTGTTTATTCCTGGCTTGGACTGGACCCTGATAATTTTTCTTTCAACAGGATATTGGCACTTTCTGAACAGCTTTATAGTGTTCCTACTCATCATTCACTTACTTACTTAACCATGTGACACATTTCAAAACAGTTGATGAAAGATATCAGAAAAAAATATCAATATATATAGACCTTATCAGATTTCTGAACACGTGGAACCTATTTCTGAATAATTGCCTAAAATTGGACTGAAGTTCAGCAATCTTGCCATTTTGAAATGAGTGGAATTTTCTGCCCACTGACAATTGTAATCTGTATCTTCAAGAACTAGTTTATTCTATCAGAGTAGTGGGCCTTTATATCGCCCCCAAACGATAGTTATTTAGGTGGAAACTCATGCTAATCTTTTGTAAGGCAAGTCAAGAGAAATCTTTCTCCAGGAACCAGGAGCGTACAACCCGCTCAGCAGTCCGATCCCAGTGCTTGAACAAGGGACCAAAGGCGCATGCGTAGAATGGGATGTCAAAGAGTTGCGAAGAGCGGGGAGGGAAGTTACCGAGGCTGAGCATAAGCGTGGGGGCTTTGGAGCGCTTCCGGTCGGAGCGCTTTGGATCCGGGGTAGACCAAAGCCTCAGCCATAGAGATGGTCCTGTTTAAGGAATTTCCGGTTTACTTCCGGATAATTCTACCTGCCTTTCTCTTTCTCTCCAGAAAGGAAGGGAAGAAAACAGAATAGGCGGTTGGCCTCGGAAAGCGGTGGGCCTCGACCCTCAGCCGCTCCTTTCGCCCTCCTGAATTCTACGCCCTCGTCGGAGTAAGTTAAAGCAACCTTCGCGCAGGTTGTAGCCCGGAGCGGAAGAGATGAAGAGAGCGCCTCTTGGGCTTCTTCTTGGCCGAGCGGGGATCCTGCTGGGTCTTCCTTTTCAAGCGAGCGGCTTTTGAGAGAAGGCAAGAGAGCTTGTTTCTGGGCCATTGGTTAGGATGCCCTAGGGTCCCTGCCAAGGCGAGTAACTTTCGGCGGGGCATCTGGGAAGAGAGAAATCTGGAGAAAACCAGCCTCAGAAGTGGGGATCTTCACGAGAGTCGGGGGTTATGACGCCTTGGCAATTCTCGGTGCCCTACACCACTTATTGTTATTATTAGAAATAACAAGTCACACGTCAATTCATGGTGGTTTGGGTATAAACGATACTTTCCTTTCAGGTACAGTATTCTCCTATACATAGGTTATGTCGTCTTTACAGTTTGGCAATTACTTCTAAATTGTCTTAAAAGGAGATGGAAGTATATTTCAACCTCACCTGAAGAAACTCTTTCTAACTTTGCAGACTGATTCTTTAATCCAAGAAAGATTGGAAGGTGAAGGTGAATGCTTTGCCAAGCCAATAATTGGAAACTCCTGAAAGTTGGTGTGCTGCATCTTTGGTGAATTAGTGCAAAAAGGGTATCTACTAGCTTCTCCTGCATTTTTGGTTTATTTATTTGTGAGGATGTCTCATTTGGAAAGATTTGGTTCTTCTGGATGTTAATGGAAATCTATAAGAAAAAATAAGCAATTTTTACTTAAGGAAAAAATTAAAAATACTGTTGATATATCCCGACAGTAAGTGTCAGTAAAATGAAATCAAAGTGATTTGGGAAAAGTCATTTACAGTAATGATATCTGGTAAGGAAGAGTATTAGTGTATTTATTGTTTTTAACCTCAGTTGTATGCAACTGCATAAGAAAGCTTTATTCTTATGAACTTCTCCATAGTTCATCTCCTATCAGTTTGTAAAATTGATTTTAAAGTTTTCTGAATTGTTATAACAAATTCAATAATTTCAGTATGTGTTATGTAATTAAATATTTCTTTTTGTCTGACAATTGTTTGATAAACTTCAAATGCCATAAAAGAGAAGAAAAATATGCTCCCCTTTTCTAATCCATTGTCCGTCAAACTAGCAAACCTCAGGGGATTTCAGTTCCTGTAATTCCCTAACAGCTTGACTATTTGTTATGCTAATCTGGGATTATGGAAATTGAAGTCAGGACACCTTGAGAACATGGGTTGGGTAAGTGTTTTTACACAATATACAAATATATGAATCTCATCACATTTCCTTTGCCATTTTCAAACTTACAGAATAAGTGATGTTCCTGCATAATTGCTGCAACCCCTTGATAATTTTGATTATTTTGAGATGTTATGATCAGAAATATATTGGAAGTCATTTCTAATCTTTCTTGAGCTAGCAAATTGCCAAACTAATGGCCTTAATGTCCATCATCTTAGAACACGGATGACAAACTTGCCGCATCATGTGATGTGTCGCGATGTACGTGACTTTTTTTGCATTGCCGGAGTTGGGGTGGGCAAGGCCTCCGCATGATGCAATCGGCCCACGGGTTGGCTGTTTGACACCCCTTTCTTAGAATAAGCTTTTTTGAAGATGAATCAAATGAGAACAGTTACCAAAGGGAAGCCTTACTTCATTTAGCCATTTGTGTACGGTGAGTGGGTCAGCAAGCATGCAAATGCAAATTATTTGCAAAGCTGTTAGCACTACAAGTTCCACAAAAGGTAGTGAAAATAAATACATACCTCCTTTCCCTCATCATGGTAGAAATTATAATCAGCTGTTAAAAGTTCAAAGATATTAAATCAATGACATATAGCATATGGCCATCTTGTTTTACACCTGGTATCCCTGCTATTGGCCATGCTAGATTGGGCTGGTGGGAGTTGTATCTCAGAACAAGACAGATCCATGAAGGCAGTCCTGTTAATGATTCTTCAATGCAGTGCTGAAATTGCCAGGCTGCTGGAAGACAAGCAATAGGAAAGGCTCTTGCTTCTCTGCCACGTTTGAGTTTTTGTGAGCAGTTCTTAACTTACAAATATTAGTTTTACAAAGTTATATTGACACTGAAAAAAGTGACTTATGGCTGGTCGCAGCATCCCCACAGTCATGTATTTGATGATTGTCGCAGCATCCCCATGGTCACGTAACCAAAATTCGGATGCTTGGCAACCAGCATGTATTTACAATGGTTGCAGCATCCTTAGGTCATGTGATTATCATTTGCAACCTTCCCAACCAGCTTCTGATAACAAGGGGGGGAAGCTGAATTTGCTTAACTATTGCAGTGCTTCATTTAACTGGCAAAAAAAAAGATCATAAAATTGGGAACAATTCACATAAAACCACCTTTCTTAGGAACAGAAATTCTGGTCCCAGTTATCCTACATCGAAGATTACCTGTAGTCTATTAAAGTTCTGGATGACATATATTGTTTATATGAACTCTCCTCAATGCAGTATATTTTAACTGTTTGGTTTATTGCTTGTTTTTAATTTTTTGGCATCTGCCCTGAGCTATATAGTAAATGGGCAGCCATATAAATTGGTAGAATAAATAAATAATATCAACTTCATTACAGATTTCTTTTGTATGCAGTGCAGATTATTTTTGATTGTGTTTCTGATACATGCATGTGCTAAAGAGCAGAATGAAAATATATTTAAGATCTTGCTTGATCATATTGATTACCATATGCTATTTTCTCAATTCCTATAGTAGTTTGATGTGTATTTTGTAATCAGTTAGAGACTAATATAGTTGCAACTCTTTAAGTAGTCCTTCTATTTTTGGTATTATTATTCTGGATATCTATGAAAAATAGAATGGAATAGTGGAAATGCAGCTTACTGAAGGAATATCATCACTGAAGGGATTGCATATAAACTATAACAAAGGGGGTCTGCGTTGACTTCATACAAATATAATACAAAAAGTATTTCAATATTAATAAGTTATAAAATATGCAATATTATGTAACTGTATAATTATATAATACAATATTATACCAAACATGTTAATAGAAGTATTAATACCAAAATGGTGAATATTATCTACACTTTTCTTGCTAAATATTAATGTAAATGTTTTGAGAATATATTTGTCAAAAATCGTATCACTTTATAGTAATTATGAATAGGTTTTTTTTTACTTCAGTTTCATTTAAAATTTATATAGGTAGAAGAATACATGTTCACTTATAGCACAGAAGAGCATGTTCCCAAATTCTTCCACTTTGAGTCGTCCACCTTTTCCACTAGAACACCAACGATATAATCTCTTCATTAATCTTCCAGTAAATGTACCTCCAGTTGTCTTTCCTCAGCCACTTCGGAGTACCACGTAAGTTTGGTATCATTTTAATATGAAGTTTATCAGATGTACATTTTCAGAACAAATCATGTGGGGTAGCAAATCTTGAAATGTTGAAAATGCAAATCATTATAGAGAAGTAATTTTATATATATGTATATTTGTCTGTATATATGTTTTAAAAACTGCATTAGAAGACAAAGTTGTGTAATCAGTTTAAATAGTTTCTGATTCTTTTATAAAATAGTTAATACGTAATTCTAGGGTAGATACTGATGTGTTAATTATTTAAATAACAGTTTCACTGAATGTGTGTGTGCAAATAATGTTTGTTCATCTAGCAAGCATTTTACAAGTAGGGAAATCCGGTTGTAAGTCACTAGAGTCGTAAGTCGAGGTATCCACATGACTGGAAGTGATATTATGATCTTTTTTGCGGTGTCCAGTAAGTGAACCTTGCAGTTGTAAGTGCAAATCTTTTTAAAAGGGGATTTTTTGCTGGCAAAAACCATTGTGAATCGTGGTCACATGATTGTGCAATGCCACAATTGGTCATAAAGGTGACTAGTTGCCACGTACCACACATGCAGTCATGTGATCATGGGGGGAGGATAGCATGATCATAATCAACAGCAGGGAGTGCTTCATGGGCTATAAAGCACCTGTTCTGTGGCTATTGTAAATGTGAATGATCAATAAGCAACTGGTCATAAGCTAAGGACAACTATAATGGAAAAAGAAAATGAAAAAGCAAAAGAAGAAAAAATAATAATAAAAGCGTGAAATAAATGGATTAGAGATTTAGAAGCATAATAAAACTGAGTAAATTAAAACAAATTATTAGAGCAACTTTAATACACTTCTGGTTTTAAGAGCTTGGTAAGTTTCATAAGCAGTAATATTGCACTTTAATATCCTTAGAACTCTAGTGAATGGTACTCTTTCAACCATCCCACCTGTTTCACCACCACGCTTTGCCTGTCAAAATGATAATCCATCGCATGGATCACCTACACCTATGTTATTCCGGCGCAGAAAGTAAGTGAGATATATAAATGTGACAGGAAGAATTTATTATATTTATAGAAGTTGTGGAACCAATGGCTTGTTCTGTACTTGCTTTTAACTTAAATTATTGTATTTGTATTGTTTGTATAGATCCCGTTTGGAAATCAAATCAACAGCTTAATGTATGAAAATGTGCTGGGCAGTGATAAGTTTGACAATTTTAGTTTCCAGTTTAGATTGTCATATGAAATGAACAGATAATTAATATTGCCCAGTAAGTTTGAAACTAGCAGATATCATAAGGTGAGCCTCACATTTCATGTGACACTAGGTTAAAGATGAACAACCTGAAGCTTCAGAGTTTCCACCATCTCCAAAGATTGGAGGCAGCCCATCCCAATCTCTTTCCAAAAATTGCCACTGAATTATCATTTTTAATACAACAGAAGGGAAACATTAAATATAAGTTACTTGGAAATGAGAACAAATTTACTTCTAGCTAGAAGTAAATTTTAAAATGTTTGAATACAAATAGCAATGGAAATTTTCTGAATTGTCCACTACTGAGCTAAAAAAAAGTTCAGAAAAAAGTTTAGAAAAGTTTAGAGGCTCAGCGCATACTGGGACTTAGATATGATGTTACTGAACTAGATCCAGTGTAAATGGAGTTTTATTCAGAATGATTCTGCTGTGAGAATTTTTTTCTTCCCCTGCATTCCTTGGACTTACATCCTTACTGTTCTGAATGTGTTCTCGGATATTCAAAGCACATAGATTGGAATCTAAGTTAGTTACAGGGAAGAGTAGTGGTAAATTGATTAAATGTTTTTCCATTCCATTTGTGAGAAAATTTTGATGGCTCCGAAGTTATCTCCTTCCATTTTTAGAAAACAAACACTAAATCCAAGCCTGCTTTATTTTTAACTTGGTGCTTACCTTACTGGATAATGGAGGTCTCTCATATTCAAAATTTGGATATTTTCTCATTGTTATATGCCTCCGTCTGAATAGGATTTACTGTATTTTTCAAATGGCTATATATGTGTGGCTTGCTTTGTGTTTCTTGTCTTTCTACTTACAATATCAAAAACGTCAGGAAAAGAGTATCAGCTTCCCAGAACCACAAGTCAAAAGTGGTCCATCACTTATTATATGGTGGGAAATACATCAGCCAAACTGTATCAGAGGAACCCGTGTGTGGTTTTTTTTTTTTTAAAAAAGTGTATTAGTAAGAGAACAGCTTCAAATCATATAATACAGCCTATATTTTTGTCTAATTTGGATGATAGTAATAGCCAACGGAAATATTTAGAACATATTGTAGGTTAAAGTGCAATTTGTATCTAAACTTGATACTTTCATCAAAAAGCTGAGAAAAGAAAACTTTGGCTTAGATTTATCAGCTTGTATTCAAAATGTAGCTAATTAAAAATATTTTTCTTGCTACAGTGTTTAAAAAGTATCTTTATGTTTCTCAAATGCTTGTTCTTTGTCTGTTACATTATCAGCTACATGTACATGGCATTCAGATTAAATAACTGAATGATTTGATTGTTACCACTGTGAGATATCCAGAATATTTTTTCCAAGGATTCATTTAGCTTTTAATTGACCATTTGAATGCCAAGAAAGCCAAATGCCTGAAAATTCACTTGGCTGCATATCTGTTCTTTGCTTTGTATCAGGGATTGTAGAGCACTAGCATTTTTATCTGCTACTAAATAGACATAATCCATAATATTCTTGCTCTGAAATTTCACTAAAGATCACCTTAAATTACTGATCATCTATTTTCAGGGGAGTATTCCTTTTACATAACATTGGTGCATTTTCACTTTTTCTGATAAGTAATCCTTGTAATCTCACTAGAGGCCTAATGGTTATTATGATTTATTTGTGGGCTACTGCTTTGTCTCCTAGCGTCACATCAAATAAGCCTTTGTCAAAGCTTTTTTTCAAAGAGAACCCACTGAAATCTTTGTATGGGCTTAAAACTTATCTTGTATGCGGCGACTGCTGCTTTGTTTAAAAAGTAATGGCAAGATATCCTGTATGAGTGGCAGGAACGTTTCTCAGTATTTCTGGAATTGAAAGTGTGTGAATCTTTACTTTCAGACCACAGCATTCATAATTAACAAGATACTTGCTTGATTAGTATTAAACAAGTGTGTTGTTTATTGTGAATATTGTAGTTTAAAAATAATAAAATCATGTCAAGCTTACTGAGGCTGTTGAAAGCAAGATGTTTTGTAATACACAATTGTTGCTTTCATATATAAATATTGTGAAATGAAATAGAGGTTCTTTTTTGCCCAGATCAAACACTTTACTGTCTGTACAATCTAAACCTACACAGACACTTTCTACATTTTGAATGGCTGTTGTGGTAAGTTTTTCCATCTGATCTATCTTTCTTATCACCCTTATCACTGGGTACACATTGGACACAACTTCTCACTAAAGTACACTTTATAAAATGTGAACTTATTCTCTTGGACAAGGAGTATTTCAAAAACAGTATGGTTTGTGTAAGATTGTCTTCATTAGATCAAACTTTCAGTAATAAAACTTGTATGTATTTAATCTATCACTGTTTTCCATGGGGCACAATTGGGTTTTCTGTTTAAAAGAATTTGGTAAATCCTTATAAAGCATAATGCACAATTTTGTTGGAATATTCACGTTAATCAGAAGTATTTATAATTGAGGTTTTTGTTGCATATTTTAAGTGGAAAACTGGAATAATCAAATCTTTTATGTTTTTAGGAGGTTGAAAGAAGAGGATGTTCCTTATGAAGTAAAGCGTCAGCGATTTCATTCACCTCATCGTGAATTAACTTCAGCTAACCAATTAGTGCCTTTAATAGAAGATCATAGATATTCATTCCCTGGATCAATTTCTTCGCCATTATTTCAAGCACATTACATCTCAGATTTAACAGGATGTGTGCCACCATTACGAGAACCTTCCTTTAATAATGCTATAGAAGCTACACTTCCTGTAGCCAAAGATAAGGTAAGATTGAAAAGAATATTGTTTATAATATTACAAAATAAGTGTTATAAGCACAAAGTCTCAGGTTGGTTTGAAGAAGAGGAGTCAAGCCATTCTCCAAAGCCCCTGAGGGTAGGACAAGAAGCAACGGATGGAAACTAATCAAGGAGAGAAACAACCTAGAACTAAGGAGAAACTTCCTGACAGTTAGAACAATTAACCAATGGAACAACCTGCCTCCAGAAGCGGTGAATGCTCCAACACTGGAAGTTTTTAAGAAGAGACTGGATAGCCATCTGTCCAAAATGGTGTAGGGTTTCCTGCCTGTGCAGGGAGTTGGACTCGATGACCTCCAAGGTCCCTTCCAAATTATTATTATTATTATTATTATTATTATTATTATTATTATTATTATTATTATTATTATTATTATTATTATTATTTACAATTATGAATCAGTTTATAGAAAATCCACATTTCTATAGATGTAGAAGAGAAAATGCATTTTCTTTAAATTAGAAACTTTAAAATTAAAAAAAATATATACTCTCTTCCTACAGAAGCTTTTTGTCCCCTGCAGTAGATTAAACACTGCCTCCAGTCCTAATCAAAGTGGGAGGAAGGAGGCTGTGTTTCATGCTGCATTAATCTTGTCATCCAGGCTAAGAACTATTACAGTAGCAAAGGTTTTCCACTACTTATTGCTGTATAGCAGTAATTTTAAAGGTAAATCTACCAGATTATCCAAAATGATTATTCAGTTAAAACAAAATCCAATTTGGTTTTGACTGTCTCCAACTTCCAAGAATAATTGTTTCTTGGTCTTGTGCTGCTTAACTTCATAGACCTGAAATAATCTCACTCATCAGGATCTAGATAATTTGTTATTTGCAGACAGATCTAGTATGAACTAGATAAAGAACAATGTGGGATTGATGACTTTTTATCCTAAAAAGGTCTACGTTCAATAAGAATTTAAAAAAAACTGGATTAATATTTGTATATTAAATATAAGTTTTATATTTTTTATTCACAAAGTTAAGTCAGCAAGTACTGGAGTTATTTCAAGCATGTCAACAACAAACCTATGACTTGAACAAAAAAGAGCTTTGCCGTACTCAACTCCAAAGGGAAATTCAGCAGATCTTTCCAAGTATGTTATAATTCTGTATATTTATTATTCCATACTTAGACTTTTGGTGTTTGAGTTCTTTCAAAGAAGAACACAATTTTTAAATTATTTTTGCCTTGCAGATAGTAGGCTATTTTTGGTTGGATCTTCATTGAATGGATTTGGTACTCGTAGCAGTGATGGTGATTTGTGCCTAGTGGTTAAAGAGGAGCCAGTAAGTACAGGAAAAATATTAAATCTCAATATCCATATGTTTTTTTTAAAGAGAGAGTACTGAAAGGGAGATAAATATAGAACAACAAGTAAAACTAGTTTTTAAAAAATCAAATTTAGCAATAAGGTGCAAGTTGAGCGTGTGCAAATTATTCATTGAAAATAGCTATTCATTCAAATGAGTATTCTAATATTTCCATGTAACATTTCAGGCAATAAAATAGAAAAATAAAAGCAATGTTAATATAGTATAATGTAATGTATTACCCTGTCTTTGTTGGATATAAAGTATAAGAATTCTCCATAGCCATGCTTGTATTATTTGTATAAATTTTCTTGTTTACATAATGGAAATACTTTTCCATCTAAGAAAAATAGAGAACTGCCTCTTACAGCATAACTTTTTTAAGATCACAAGAAGGACACATCCTTCATGCTGTTTTTTCTGTAACAAAAATAAGACAATTAGTGGGGTGAGCTCTGCAATTTTAAAGAAGCTGTGTCCTTGCAAAAATGGAAAATAAAACCCCACCAGATAATTTGAAAGAAATCACTTTAAGTTAAAAGGGTGGCTTGCTGCATTACATGCTACATTAGTTTTAATAACATTTTTAGAAGGCATTTACATCAGTAGTAAAAGCCACTAATAAGTGACTTTTGAAACAATAATTATGCAAATACACATCATATAGAGAATTCAGTTTATATGCTAAGAACTACTGCCTAACTACTGGTTCTGATTTAATTCCATTTGTCTGTTTTGTTGTTTGGATTTTTGAAATAGCGTGTGAGTGTGACAAATAGCTTGAAGCAAATTTGGGAGGAGACTGTGAAATACCACTTAAATGATTTATATAGTCATTAGCCTTATTCTTACGGAGACATTGATACTATTATTAACAAAATGAAATACTTGGAAGAATTGAGCCCTATTCTCTATTTACTATTGCTCTAAACAATTGCTGTAATCCCAATACAATTGAATATGGCAGAAATTACCTTTCTTGAATGACTCACTTTTACAAGCTCCTATATTTTGATAAATGAAATTATTGTGTGTGTGTTGGGAATTCTAAATGTATTGCCCATAGTTCTAAATTTCCTTGGGACTTCACATGATAGAAGAAATACCCCTGGTATAGTAGTTGAGCTTTAGCACATGGGCTGCTCTAAGCCTTGGACATCTGAGCTTGTTCCTGCTATCCTGTAATGAACAAAGGGATTTCTTCTTGTGGGTTTACTCCTTTTCTTTCTCATTTTATGCATTCATTTGATAAAATGTTTCCACTTCAGAGTGGTCTATACATGTCCAAATATTTCCATCTTCAAACATTATTAAACATCATTAAAACATTAGTGATTAATTTATTTCAGATGAATCAGAAGACTGAAGCAAGACACATACTCAGCGTACTCCAAAAACACTTCTGTAGGAAGCTTGGTAAGTTCTAGACTATGTTTAGTGAAATGAATATTGTTAATTTGTTTATAGTTTTCACTAACAGAAATACACACTCAATGCATTCTTCAGTTAATGACCCTTATTTGAATTTGAAATATATTTCTTGTGTGTGTGTGTTGTCAGTAGCATGTATTTTACCATTTTAGAACATTTCAAGAAAACATATTTTTGATGAAGATTTGTATGTTATATTTCTAGGGAAGTAGAATACAATGCCTTACAGCCAAAGTAAGTGGTAGATATTATGATGGGATGTTATGCAGATTAATTTTCTGGTGTTTTAGTAAATGAAATTTCAAGCTAAAACAAGTTTTTAAATTGCCCATTTCAGGTACAATCCCAAAGACATGTTTTGGAGCTTACATAAGATCATCACCTTTTTTCTGTTCATTAAAGCAGACAATCTCTTTTTTTATGTCAGTTCCAGAGAGAAGGTGATGCTGTCTTAATGAATTGAGTCATTAAAGCAACATGTATTTACACTGTCTCTTAAGGCAGAACCCTGTACAAAATCAGGTTTTTATGAATAGCAGGGATGCACTGAACTCTCACAAAGTTATTTGTACACACACACACACACTTGTACACTGTACAGAGTCTCTCCGTGAGGGAAATTGGCAGTTTCTAAATTAGATGGATGGATAGTCTGAAGCACTTCTGAATATTTTTTAAAATATGAGCAATCCAATTCTGCAAAGTTAATTTGCTGTATTTATTTATTGATATTTCTATCCTGCTTCAATGATATATTCTTTGATAATCAAAAAGCATACAATTATAACAATTACAATAATGATTATGTTAAGAACCCTATTCAGTAAAATACAATAGCAGCAACCCACAATACCTAAAGATACAAAGGTCTAGCAACAGAATATAATTTCAAGTTTCCTCTTGATACTCAGTCATGGAAAATATCTATTTGGTGACTAAGATTCAATGATTTGATGACACATAATCCAGCAATCAAACTGAATGTCAGCTGAAAGGGGGTCATCTATTCATATAGAAAATCTCTATAAATTGAATAAAAATCCTGCCAGAAATGATGTAGCATGGCCTAAGAGGTTCTGTGCAATAAAATCACTAATTAGATTTTATCTATTTATTTAATTACATCTGAGCAACATGAAACTGTATAGGAAATATGTTCTGCTAAATTTACTGCTGCAAAATAGCATTTATATTAGATGTTACAGGAGTTTTTTGTTTTCTTTACAGCAAGCTACATTGAGAGACCTCAACTGATCCGAGCAAAAGTGCCAATAGTAAAGTTCAGGGATAAAGTCAGGCAAGTAACTGCAATTACCATTATTTTTTTTCATATATTACCATTTAGACAGGGTGGGCTTACTAGTATGGGACATGTTTCTTAGAGTTTTCTTATCCATCTGCCATTTGTTTTCTCATTGGTACAGTAATGGTGACAATGACTTGCAAATATTACAGTGAATAGCGCTATTCAATTATTTCAGTGAAGTTTAAGTATACTTTTTTCTGATATTTTGTCTCTGTACATGCTTTTATTAGTAGAGAAGTGGCTGAAGTTGTAATGATTGATCTAGTTCAAACAATAAAGCTAATTCCATTTACTGTTTTAACAGAATTCAAAAGAAAAAATGGGGAACTTGTGGCCTTCCACCTACTACTAATTCCCACTAACCCAGCATCATGCCCAGAAACACACTGTCCTGTACAGTGAGAGCAGACTAGAGAGGGGAACTATGTAGCAAGAAAGCTTTAGGGTGCTGGATGCATAACCTGGTCAGCCAGTCCCTGAGACAAGCCCAGAGACCATTGCTGCCAGGCTGATCTTTTCTGTATCTCAGCCTGTATGTGGCAGTCAGCGCTTTGGTCTTTTGGGTAGTGGAGTATTGATGTGGGACTATAGAAAATGACTTGAAAAGTCACCATTTCGGTTTTGGAGAGCAAAGGATTGGTATATATCTTTCCATTATCAATTATTTTAATATCATATATTTATATTTGGTGAGTCCTGGCTGCTTGTGTGAATAAGGAAGAGATTGTGCTATCACACCTATTCCCCAGTATATCTGTGTCTATGATCATTTTACCAATTAAATGTTTTTCCTGCTGTTGCTCAGGAGTTTACAGGCTTGGCCAAATTATCAGCAGAACAATACACTGAGCGTTAGAACATTTTGGCTACTTCAGAGTTTGTAGGATTTCCTGATTGTCTCACTAGCAGATTTTGTATCTTTCTTATAACTTGCTATTTCTCAAAAGGTTTGGTTAGCAACTACGATCAATGCATTGCACTCACTTTGATTATATTCAGTTGTTCAAGCTCTTCTACAATTCATTAGAATCTGTTTTCCCAAGACCTTGATAAATGATGTGTCTGCTTAAATAAATGGCTTCTTAAGGAGCAACACTTAATTGTTGCTTGTTCTCAGCAGTAGCACATTTAAAGCTGTAGTGCCTTTGAGCAAAAGCCAAGTGCATTTCGTTTACCACTCAGTATCAATGGTCCAATTGTGCAGTCTAGAATTCATAGGCAGAACAAAGAGTGTCTAAGGTAGGCTGCCACACATGCTAATTTTACTATAGACCCCATGTGCTTACAGAAATAGTCACTCACTTCAATAACTGGACATGAATGGAGGACTTCATGATATATTTTTTCCCCATTATGATCATGTACATAATCAAATAATGATGTTGACCAAAAAGGGAATGTAAAGATACACTTAAATGGACAAAACACGGATTTTTTTTATTTGCCTTTGGAATGCCAGCCTTTCCAATACTATGCTTTTTCCAACATGGGGGCATCCCTGTCCAAGTGCTTGAAAGAAAACTTTATTCCTAGTGAAGTGGGAAAATCTATCATCCTAATAAATATATGGAAGTTGTTGCTCAACTCCAAATAGGCAGTACAGGGAGCCATGCCGAAGAATTAGAGGTTTTAGGGTTGCCAAATGTTGAAAAGATTATCTTTATTTTGTGTATATGTACACACACACAAAAGGTATTGTTATTCTACTACGGAGAATTATGTTGAAAATTAGGTTTTTCCATCATTGTTTTTAATGTAATATAATTTGGATTTGTTTGTATAAGTACTGGTGCAAATTAAATTTGATTTTTCTCCTAGCTGTGTAGATTTTGACTTGAATGTAAACAATGTTGCAGGAATAAGAAATACATTCCTTCTGAGAACCTATGCATACAGTAAGTAGTTTATTCATTGTATCATGGATTGGGTTCCTTTTGGTATCCTTACTTTCTTTGAAAACTGAGGATACTCAGTACCTAAAATGTTTGGAGCCATACATGCAAACTTGAGAGAAACCATTGTACTGAAAAACCAAGCAAACGTGATGATGGTTGTAAAGACCACGTCAGAATTCTGATACAGGTAGTCCTCAAACTTACAACCATTCTCCCATTGACTTTGCTTGTCGGAATTCCCCTGGGAAGATCATAAATGGTGATCACATGACCCCAAGAAGCTGCAACCATCATAAATACATGGCAATTACCAAGTGCCCAAATTTTGATCATGTGACTCCAGGGCAGTCATAAGTGTGAGACTGTTGTAAGTCACTTTTTTTACTACCTTTGTAACTGAACGGTTGCTAAATGAATGGTTGTAAGGACTAGAATAGCAGAATGTGGCAGGTAATATAACAGATATTTTTTTGTCCCAAAATGCTCATAATTCCTAAATTTAAGTAGTATTAGGGGATGGCAAAAAAGGGAAAGGTTTGTTTCTGGATAAATAAAATTGCCTGTGAGAGATTTTGGGTTTTAGCTCTTTTAGCTCAAATACTTTGGCTGCCAAATGAGAAGAGAGGATTCATTGGAAAAGACACTGATGTTGGGAAAAATTGAAGGCAAAAGGAGAAGGGGACGGCAGATGATGAGATGATTAGATAGTGTCATTGACGCAGCGGGCATGTGTTTGAGCAGACTCTGGGAGACAGTGGAGGACGGGGGGGGGGGCTGGCATGCTATGGTCCATGAGGTTGCAAAGAGTCGGACATGACAGTGACTAAAAGACAACAAACAACACTTTAGTTAAGGAAAAGTATTTAGAGGTGAAGCTATGAAAAATGTTAATGATAAAAGGAATAGATTCTCATAGATAGGAAGAATTTCAAGTGTAAATAAGGACAAAACTATTTTAAAAGCAAAATATCTGTTAGTATACATAACCCTAGTAATGATACATGAATATGTACTCTAGTTGAGATGTCAATCTTTTACACTGTATATGTCCATTGAATAACCATGTAAGTGTTCTGTCTGTCAAAATTTTATTTCTTGTTTACAGTTGAGAACCGAGTACGTCCATTAGCACTGGTTGTAAAAAAATGGGCAAGCTTTCATGGTATAAATGATGCTAGCCGAGGCACTTTAAACAGCTATAGTCTTGTGTTGATGGTTTTGCACTATTTACAAAGTAAGTACTTGGTGAACTTTTCAAATGACTTTTGCCCTGAATATAACACTTGTCAAATTGTCTTCTTAGAATCAGTTGTTAAGAAACTGCTAGCAATGTCTCTAGATAAAATACTTGCTTTTGCTTTTACTTCTTTCACTTATGCCATGTTTTTGATGTATGAAAGTTCTTCTCTGGGAAACATGCATATTTATGAAAAATACTGAAACAGTCACTATATAATCACTAGAGTTCTTGCTGTTTCTTAAATACAATAGAGAACAAATTTAAAAAATCAGTCATTAACATTGTTTTATTAACTGTTAACATTAATATTAACTGCTAAACTTTAATAGTTAACATGAACTATTTTAATATTCTGCTAACTGACTATATTTTAAATGGATTTGAATATTTAAAAAACAATTGCTGCCACAAATTATTGTAATTTTCTGTTTCAAGCTTTGTTTATCAGGAATTCTATGATGAACAAAAACTGAATGCATGAGGATATACAGTATAACCATCATTAAACGTTTATTACAGACAAGAAAAGCTTGATCTTATGTGTAAATTATTTCAAGAGAAATATATGTGCACAGATCCTGAGCTCATTGCAAAAAAGGATAAGATGAAATTATGCTAATCATTCTCAGATTCTGTTTGTAGTTGTGTCTTTTAGCGATGGTAATTATAATTAGTCATTAGGGAAATAAAAATGGGGATTCTTTTTTAAAACGTTGTATTTATATTACTGTAGAAACTTCTCTTAGAGATTATAATGTGATAAGTTATTACCATTAACTTTAAGCCATACTTTATAATAGTATATAAGTAGTCCTCGAGATAATCAATGGTCACTTAATGGCTGTTTGAAATTATAACATGTCCTCCAAAAGCTACTTACAACTTTGTTTTGAAGTTACAGCTGTTGCAGTGTCCCTGCAGTCACCCTTACAATTGACCACAGGGATGTGTAGCGCCCCCGCTTTCCCCCTCCCATCCCACACTGCTGGGTCCCTGCAGGCCTTGGCCTATTCCCCACAAGCCTGTTACCCAATGCACATTTACCTTTTGAAGATCTCCAGACTTCATGATGGGGAAGGAGGTCAGGCCACTCATTCCTGGGCGGAATGGGGCTGACTTGTCCCAGCTGTTTCACCATGGCTGACTCTCTGCATCTAGTTTGCCACAGGACAACTCACTGGAGAACAACTTGCCGCACGACAATTCAATGCGGGATAACTCAAGAGAAGGCCAAGTAGAATCGGAACTCACCCCAGCCTTGAATACCTGTAACTTGAGAAGGTTCAAACCCTAAAGCAAGACAAGACCCACTGTAATTGTCCCTTTCTTGAGTTATCCTATGTTGAATTGTCCCACAGTGAGTCAGCTGTGGTGAGTCAGCCAGGGTGAGTTGGCTAGGTCAAGATGGCTGGGGCAAAGCAGCCATGGCGCGTTGACCTAGACTCTACCTGGACCATATGGCCACCTCCCAGTCATTTTCAGCATCTCCGCAATTGCCTGGCCCTCGCCTACACGGCAGTGACCCAGAGGTGGATGCTGTTTGGCGACACCCGCAAGGAATTGTGGGTGCGCTGAAATTTATGGTTGCTTCCAGAAGGCAGCTACACAGCCAGGGATGTGTGGCCTGCCCTCATTCCCAAATGACTGGAGATTTTCAAAAGGTAAATTAGGGTGAAAGTCTGCGGCCCAGTGGGGTGGGAATCAGGCCTAAGGTCTGCAGGGAACTGGTGAAAGGGTGAAAAGGCCTCAGAGACCCAGTGTGAAAGAGGAAGGCCTGCAGAAACCTGGTGGGAGAGGGAAAGGCCTACAGGGGCCGATAGGAAACAGAATATAGGATGTCTCAGGGATGGGGGACGCCTGGAGCAGGTGGACCTGGGTCTCCATTCTAAGTATAACTGGGGCTCCTGCACTCCTAAAGCACTCTGCTTAACCTGTACATTTGTTTAACAGTTGCATCAGGGAGAGAAAGAGATGGGGTCATTGAGTGATACTATCTCACTTAATGGCCATCACCACTTGTGACTGTAATGGGCAGGCTCCGTTATAGCCATATCTTGAGAACTATCTGTGATATAGTAATTATAAAGCACATATTTGTTATCATGCAGGTATCAGTTCAGCCATTTCATGTATCTGATGAAGTTCACAAAAGCCTTTGCCTTATAATAAAATCATTAACCAGAAACACTCCTGAGTTTTGGCTACCATAATATATCACAATTTTTTGCCTTTAATCTAATTAATTATATTTTTCTTTAAGTATAAATATGAGCATTGAAGTAAGACATTGATGGGAAACTGAGCCTTCTATAGACATACTTTGTTCATTTTCCTTTGAGACCAATTAAATATGTTGATGCTCCAAATCATAAATTCTCTGACCTAGTGGAATTATATAGTTCACTCAAGAGTTTTGCAGATAAGGAGAGAGGGAGGGAGGGAGGGAGGGAGGAGGGAGAGAGAGAGAGAGAGAGAGAGAGAGAGAGAGAGAGAGAGAGAGAGAGAGAGAGAGATTCACTGATACATTCTAGAAGAGGATCAATTTGGACAGATTGGCCTTTTAGTCAAAGAGTTATAAAATTGCATATAAAATAGGCCAGTTCTTTCATGAGCATTTTCAACTTGGGAGTACGGAATTGCTGCCCATTGCATGCCCTCAGGATTCTGATAGGTATTTTTTTAAAAGATGTACAGGTAATCTTTCAAAGATCTCTGAGCTCTAGAACTCATGTTGGGGAAGGAAGGCAAGCTGCTGCATCCCTTGGTGTCCCTGAGTGTGGTTCCAGAAGGGGTGCCATTTTCAGAGTGGCCACAATTCATTGCAGTCGCTTCTGTGATGAAGCCATGCAGCCCAGTGATGCTGAGAGATTGGAGCTCCCACCCCTCCTTCTCTAACACAAGCTCTGGAACAATTCATTGGACTGTTCCACAAGCGGCATCTGCTTCTGGGATGAAGCATTTGTCCCAGGGACACTGAGAACAGAGCGCCCTGCTTCCCCCCTCCCTGTCCCCAATGCAAGCTCTGGAGCTCCAGAGATCCTCAAAAGGTAAGTGCATGATGGGTGATGGGGGGGTCGGGTGGAAAAAAGGATCTAGGGTCCAGTGGGTGAGAAGTAGGCCCCTGGTCTGTGGGGTCTTGAGGGGGAGGAAAATGTGTCTCGGAGGGGAGAGGAGGCCCTGGGTGGCCCAGTGCAGGTGGGTTTGGCCTATACTAGGCTTCTCAGGACCTCTCCCCTGTGGTACCCGGTTCTCTGCTTTACAACTTATGCGGTGATCTAATGACTGTATCACAGAGAATTGGGGTGGAGGATGTTAAATAATGTGATCATATGGTCACTTTGCTTAATGACCATCACAATTTGCAACTTTAATGGACAGGCTCAATTATAGTTATGAGTTGAAGAATACCTGTAAATAATTAGAACACAAGTTTTTATTCATTTTTAATATTAATAGTGGCTATTTTTAAATAAATTACATTTTCCATTCATTGAAAGCTAGATATTATTCCAGATAACTATTGAGAAAGTAATTTACACCTTAATCCAATGTTGATAAATTAGAACTGCATAATCTGCAAAACCTAAAAACATTATTGTTTATAATTAAATAAAATGTCTTCAGTGTTGAAAATTTCACATGTCCCTCGATAAATTTATATTACAACTTTGGCTTAAATGAGTGTCATATTCTCGAATGTTTAATCAGTTTTCTCACACATTTATGTAGGTAATATGTTTAATTTTAAAACCTAGAAATTTGAGTTTTGGGATAAGCATTTGATCCTAAACGTTCAGTTCACAATACTAGTGTAGCTGGTATGTTGTTTTCTGTGAAATATATGAATCACAGTGACTTTAAACTTTTTTTTTATAGCCCTACCTGAACCTATCCTTCCATCCCTCCAAAAAAATTACCCAGTAAGTGCTTCTTATAAATTACTACATAATATGTTTATTAAAATGATTACCTTCCACATGAATGTTGCTGTTACTTTGGGATAATGACAAAATATGCCTTAGACCATGTTTGTTAGAACTCCACAATGCTCCAACATGTGTATAGAAAATTCTCCTGCAGACTGACACATTCATCCTTTTTAAATACAAATAAAATTTTAAAAGCCAATTCTGATTATCACATTTGGCTGAGAAATATGAATTACAGTATTTATTTTTATAAGTTGTATGCATGCCTTTTTTGTTAGCTATGGAAAAGGCAATACCTACAGTTGGATTTCTCTTCCTTCAATGTCTTATGCACTATTAGATTTGTTCCAGAGGTTTAGGGAATCTCCCTGAAAAAATTTGGGAGGCATATGTTGGGAGAAGAGTAATTGGATGTAGACCTATGAATCTGGATTGTATTTTGTGTTTAGAACTGCAGCATATTATCTTATGAATTTTGAATTGAATACTCTATTAGACACACAAGGAATTTGTCTCCAGTGCTCTCAGTGTACATGCAGGGCAACAGAATAATGGTAATCATAATAATAATATCAATAAGGGGGGGGGAGTAAAGAAGATAGTAAGAAAGATAAATAATAATATTACAGCCTACTACATGAGTAAATACACATAGAGATGATCCATTCTGCATGGCAGTACTGTGTTATCTCACCTTGCCCTGGTGGTAATCTACCTTTTAATGTTTTACAGGTAGGCCTTGACTTACAACAGTTTATTTAGTGACTGTTCAGACAACAGCATTGAAAAAAGTGACTTATGACCGTTTTTCACACTTACAACTGTTGCAGTATCCCCATGGTCACTTGATCAAAATTAAGATGCTTGGCAACTGACTCATATTTATGATGGTTGCAATGTCCTGGGATCATGTGATCACCTTTTGTGACCTTATAAGCAAAGTCAATGGGAAAGCCAGATTCATTAACAACCATGTTATTAACTTAACAACTGCAGTCATTCACTTAACAACTGTGGCACAAAAGGTTGTAAAATAAGGCAAAATTCACTTAACAAATATTTCACAAAAAAATTTGGGCTCAGTTGTGGTTGTAAGTCGAGAACTACCTGTAATATATTCACTTTGAACTTATTTCCATAATGATTTTTTGCTCTGCTTCTGCCCACCTATTTTTTAAACATTCTTGTGACAGTGATGGTACTGATAAATTTTGATGCTAAAATATATCAAAACATTGATATAATAGAAAGACGTAAACTAGCATGCAGGACACTAAGAACAAAGTGGGTGATTAAGGTATGGCAGTTGCACAGAAAATGTAGAAGCAATTTAAAACTAACACTGCTCCTCTTATATCAAAATAACTAATTAAAAGTTCCTGATTTCAGGATCATGTTTGGTAAAGTAACGTAGTAGGGTCACTCATTTTTGTTTTATAAAATTATTATTGAAGTAAAAAGTTGAACAAAATTTTTCATTGAAATTAATGTATAGTATAAAGGCCTTTGATATTTAAATACTTAATTATTAAGGTTCACCGTATTGGAATATTTCTGTTTTCAGTTATGTTGAATCATTAAAAGATCCACACTATATATGTCTATAATCTCAGTGGAAAAAATGCTTTTTAAAATGCTGGACATGCAGTTATGTATCTAAAACAAGTAACTGCACATTATTAAAAGACTGTAAAGATCAGTGGATAATTTTTTGACATAGCAGCATTTTAAACAAGTAGTTTTAGCTGAGATGTGAGAATACCAAGTCTTAAAGTAATATTTAAGATCAATAAAACAATATTTGATTTAGCAATTGCAGTTTGCAGTTATACATGTCTTTCTATATAAATATTTTCATACTGCAATATATTTGAAATGGTATTATGTCACCTGTTTATCAATTAACACTGCTTATTAATATGTAAGGATTACAGGGCTTTGGATATAGTTCAGAATACATTCTTTGGATCATGCAGAAGTATGAAAATGGCATCTTTGATTCACTAAAACAACCATGTCATTTTCCAGACTTACATAGCTGCTGCAGAAGCTACACATTACAGAAATCAAATGTGGCTGCCTTTATACAATGTTGGGTTTGTGTTTCCATGGTTTTGAACCAAAGCATTGCACAGCCAAACACTGCACAGCCGTAATAACTGGACTGCTTTAAATATAGTTTATTTTGGATATTTAGCTTGGATCAGTCTGCCGATAGAATAGGACTTTCAAAATTAATCCTACCGGAAGGACGGAGAGGTTTTTTTTTCAGTACAAACACCAATTAAAACTGGATGCTATCCTACTGGGAATTGTTCAATGTTGGATAAAATCCAAATAGTGTATGCCCTCAAGAAAATATCTCAGAGGCATTAATTGCTAATGCACCATTGTGTTTAAATCAGCATGTAGGTCTACTTAGAATTGAGTTTAGAATTCTGTTCAAAATCACAGGGAGCACTTCTTGAAAACTACTTCCTTAGGCATGTTTAACCAGAAATAAAGCAGCAATTGCTAATATAGCTCTATTTGAGAAGCAATTTGTGACTGCAATATTATACACATCTGCTGAGATGTACATTTTAAAAATTCAGAAGAACGGTCCAGTATATTTTGTATATTTATCAAGGGGTAAAGTAGTGTGAAAATATTGCTTAGTTGCAGAAATCATGATAGCACCTTGAAGTAAGCAAATGTTCCCAAGGACTTTTTTGTTGCAAGGTGCCTGGAAATGACCAGATGCCAGAGCACTTGGGAGCAAACCACAGAGGAAGCAGAATCAAAGGTAAGGGACTTGCTGCATCAGATGCTATGTGGGACACTTTGGGAATTGCAAATGCCAGATTAGGTAAAGACTGGAATACTTTAATTTAACCCATTGGATAATTTAGTTTTGTCCATAATCTGGCAAGATTACTGAATAATCAGTGTTTATTTAAATGAGTTGGCCTTGTATATGTTTTCTTCGTTTATGTTTTCTCCTTAATGTGGTCATTGGCATTTCCTGGGATAGTTTTCATTTTTGAGGACAAAAATATAGGTGTTTTTTTTTTAAGTTTTAAAATTGTAAGCTGCCCAGAGTTACCCTGTGGTAAGATGGGCAGCCAATAAATTAAATAATAAATAAATAAATAAAATTTGACTTAACCATTTTGCATTAATAACTATAGAAATTCCTGTTGTCTCTGTAGTACTCACTGTATGCTCCTGTGTTAGTCAAGTTTAGAATATCTGGTGTTTTCAGCAACAAAAAGCAGAAATTATGTCTTTCTGCCAGGGGATGGATATTGCTTTTTTTTTTTTTTTTTTTTTTTTTACAAAATGGCATTTTTACATATTCAGAATTACACAAGCACAATAGCAATTTGGAGAGTTTTTTTGGCTACTGTGCTGTTATGAACTACAAGGATCTTTTAAAAAGACTTAGGTACTGCAAGCAAGACTGAAATGATCCATTCAACCAACTTGAAGTTATTTGTTTGGATATGCTCGATTTGGGCATTCAAAATGAGATTTCCCTATGAGTATTCCCAGGAATACCTCTTCCCTTCCCCACATCAATATTACTCAAATTACATTAACTCTTTCCATCTACATACAGTACATAAGGTAGATTTCTTAAGGAGAGGGCAGGCTTGTGTGCTTGCTCACATGGAAGTCAGTCACCTGAAAACTGAATAGAGCTACATATTTCTGGTTTCTGATGTCTTCAGGATGAATTTCTGTTTGATCCAGTTTGATTAACAGAAGTGCAGTGTTTTAGTATAAGAGTAAGATGGTTTAAGGAGGAGGGATTTAGATGCACTGAATTAGATTATATTTACTGCACTAGGATAAAGAAATGTCAGAGGACACTGGGTGGGCTATTTCAGGGAAAAGAAGGTTGCTAGTGTCAGTTTCAACTTTTGGTCTGGGGAATCTTGGCTTAAACTGTTGGTAAACACCAAATTTATATGGACAAGGCCATGTTTAGCTATGACTTGGAGGGGATGAGTAGGTGGACCTGGTTTGTGTTACCCGGACATGATTTGGACAGCTAATATTGCTAAGAACTGCCCTCCTGGATTTCAGGTTAATAGCAATTTCAGTACCAGGCTGGGAAGTGGAGATGCTGTGGTTGACCTTCAAAGACATTTGCAGCTAGGGACTCCTGCTGAAATAGTAGGCATATATGTTTAATTTAGCCATGACTTTATGTTAATTTAGGGTTTAGTTTAGCTATACTTTATATACATATAGCTTAACTGAGCTATATAGGGTTAGTCTGTATGTTAATTTAGGTTTAATTTAGGCTGCATATATGTTAATTTAGGCCAGGGGTGTCAAGCTCGCAACGTCATGTGACGTGTCATGGCGTATCGCTATTTTTTTCCATTGCTGGCAATGGGGTGGGTGCGGTTTCGCTATAATGCATCCGCCCCGCAGGCCGGCAGTTTGACACCGCTGATTTAGGCAATGGGGACAGTCTAGGGATTATGCTGTTATGCTGATTATCTTGCTATCTGGGATAGCTTCCTGGGCTCTGGACTTGATGCCAAGACTGGGTTTGGAGTTCTCTTACCTGTTACTGCTGGATAATTCCAGGTTTCATATATTGGGGATTGGATCCAAGAGAGACCAGGTTTTTATAGTAATTGTGGGCTTATTTCAAGTATTAGTTAACCGGACATGCATATATGCTTATTTGTAAACTTCTGGAAGTCCTAGATTTGTGTTGGATCAGATTTGTTTTGTTGTGTTAAATCTGGAGAAAAATGAATTGCGGATCTGAGTCTAAAACATGAGCTATTTCTATCACATGAAATTTCTGATTAGGTTCTATGAATTGTCGCACAAATTATCTCTTCCCCTGTTTTGCACAAGTGCATGTTTAGTAGTTACAAAATTATGACTCCATTGAGGCTAGGGCTTTATGTTATAACCACCCCACCCCCACCCCAACCTTATCAACTGAAGTGTTCTTAATTTGACTGTATTGTATGCCTCCTTTGGATAGACATTTAACTAAATGCATTTCCATTTTAGAAATTTACAAATAAAGGCAAATTTGCATTCTGGCATGGCTAATTGCTATCATGATTAGTGCTATGTCAGAACTCATAGGGTGGGTTTGGGTAGTAATTCCCTCTGTGCAGCCCATTTTATTGTTTTATTATGGAGATAAAAGGTGGTAGCTGCATTTATACAAGCCTTAGGTTTTGAAGAGATACAATGCAATATAATGCAAAAAATTTACAATTTCCCCACCACTTCCTTGATTTGTATTTTATAACAACCGTGAGCATCTAAAGAATGCTTCTTACTACGCCCATTTCTCAAAATGGCGAGGTAAATCCTTCTGAGTCCCATCAGAAGTGCTTAAACGAAAATATCCCTCTCACTACCACATAGCAACCTGCATCATTTATATATTTGGAGATTCATGAAATGGTCTGTTTAATCCTTCTGAAACTGACAGAATCTGTGTCTCTAACTTATGGAATCTAAGTGAATAGGGGTTTTTTTATACACTTTTCTATCAGTTTTCCCTGAGGGGCCTCAGTTACACTATTTTGTGTGGAAACTTAGAAATGGGATTATTTGCATTTTTTTAGAATGCAAACGGGCAGAAAATGCAAGAAGACGCATGGAGGTTTCCTGTATATTTGTAGAAATTTCCTATATATATTAAAGGAAATTTATTTTTCTGGCCACCACAGTAGAAGAAACTGTTCAGCTTTACTTATCTTGATAATTATCAGCTTCAAGAACAGCTGCTGTTTCCATTGTTTAAAACATATATATTGAGATGGATTTAGCATCATGTGTACTTCCTCCCTGAGAGAGAAAAATAAACCCATGCATTCTGTACATCAGACAGATATTAATGTCCATTTCTCCTATTGAAATTGCTTGGATACTTTGCCTTATATATTTTTCTTCATTGTATCTTTCTGAAATTCATGATGTTTTTTTCTAAATTGATTGACCAAAACTATGATTTTTCAAACTTATGGGTTCATAAAACAGTAATTGGTGACATGGTATATCTTTTCACCACTTGGCAGAATAACATAAATAAATGGCTGATGCCAAAAATGATCAGTTGTTAAGCTAGCATATTATAGATAATTTTATGTTAATCGCCAAGCAGGAACTAATAACTTATGGACAAGGCCATAAGTTGACCTTGTTGTATTCTTACCTCAGAATGGAATGGCATAGTGGAAGGAATAGCTCTAAAGTAGAGCAAAGATGTTTATATGAAAGCAAAAAATCTGTTTTCAAATTTAGTTACCTTCTTTCTTTGTTGGTCTTGGCTTTGTCACTCCTTGCTGTAGTACATTGAGACTAGTGAAGAATCTTTCAGAGGTGTCAGAAGACGTAAAGGCTTTACATCTAGAACAGGGCTTTTCAACCAGTGGTACAGGTACCACCTGTGCTACATTGGCACCTGGCAGGTGGTACGCGACCATCCTAGAAAAGTGGTAGCGGGGGAGGGGAATGAGCTGAACCAGTGGCAGCACCGCACAAGTCTGAGCAAGAGATGGCTGGAGCTGCAGGGCTGTCAGGGCTCAGCAGAAGCGCCAGGATCAGCGTCAGTCTCCAGCTGGAGCTCGGCGCTGATCCTGGCGCTTCTGCTGAGCCCAGAAGAAGCGCCAATCAGCTGGAATGTTGCAGCATCTTCACGGTCTTGTGATTTACATTCAGATGCTTGGCAACTGATTCATATTTGTGACGGTCACAGTGCCCCAGGGTCATGTGAAGTGACCAAAACCTGCTGCAACCACCCAGCAGACGGGGGGAATAAAAACCAAACACCCCCCCACCCCACCCCCACTGCCAATCCTCAACAGAAATGCTCACAACAGTGAAAACCTTGGACAGGAGAAAGAGCGCCACCGCTGGGCAGGCAGGCAGGTGTCTTGCTCGGCTGTGATTTGGGGGGCACTTTTTTCAGTGCCATTGTAACTTCGAACAGTCACTAAGTGAACTGTTGTAAGTCGAGGACTACCTGTACTTCATCACTTTTTTCCTTTTTTTTTTTTTTTGGTCATCAAGTTTTTGACAGCTTGCTAGGCAACTGGTAGTACTCGGATGTTGCCATATCCTAAAAGTGGTACAATGGGTGAAAAGATTGAAAAGCCCTGATCTAGAATGCTATGTAATTGATTAATAACATTATTCAAGTAATTGCTGTGACCGTCATAAATAATTTTTCAGTTCAGCTGAACCAGTTGTTATGAACATTTGATAACAACTTTGATTTGTTACATGCAAATGGACCAGAATGGTAAAAGTCTAGAATTGATCCTTCCTATCACTACCTTTTTTCAGAAAAGCTTATATGTGTAAGATTTAAGTCAGGATTGGTAACTGCAAGTGAAATATTAGATTGCTCAATCAAAATAAAAATGCATTTATTGCCTGGGAAACATATATGGGTACCTAAATGGCACAGGACCAGGTTTTTATTTATTTTATTTTGTTTATGTATTTAATTTCTATAGCCACTCAACTCAACCAAGGGACTCTGAGCAGGACCACGTCTCTATAAGAACACCTACCTGTCCTACCAGATCGGATAGGATGATCAGGATCCTACTAATTCCTTTAAACATTATCATCTTATGGGAAGTGGCCCTTTTCCATGGCAGTCCCTGCCCTGTGGAACATCATTCCCCCTGAGGTTTGGCAGGCCTCTACCTTCCAAGCCTTCCCAAAAGCACTTTCCCCCCAAGCGCTGGAATAGGGTGAAGCAGAAGAGGGGATTTAACAAGGAATTGCAAGTGGAAGCTTAACTTTGGTGCTAGATTTTTAATGTGTATTGTTTTCATACATATAATTCGTTTTTATTATTGACGTTTTAATTATTGATTGGGAGCCACCCAGAGTTTGATATAAGATGGGCGACTACATAAATGTTTCAAATAAATATTAAAGCTTTAGCTACCCAGTACAGAAACTAAATATTGCAAAAGATTCTTAAACTATCCCTTTCCTCTATTTTTCTTATCTTTCTTGTTTTAAGCATGTTATTTAGTTTTATTCAAATCAGAAAACAGGATATTAAAGTTTTGATTTTAATGCAGTTTGTCAAAAGAATTAACTGAAGCAAAATCAATAAACAAGCCATCATCACTTTCTATAAATATTTGTCACTTGTATCCTATTGCTCTGCAGAGAAACTCAGATGCGCATATATGAAGATTTTTTGTTAGGGTGGCTGCTTGGTTGTATTCCAGCACTTTGTTCTCCTGTTCCATTTTACGGGACATTTTTAATTATCTGGCAGCATGACAAACCTTTTCCTTCCTATAAATCAACAAAAGAATTAGATTAAATGTGTATAATTTTCTTTGTATTAAAAAAAGAAGTAATTTAGATTGGCAGGTAATGGTCAAATGCCTGAAGATTTAGGACAGTGGTGGCGAACCTATGGCACGCGTGCCAGAGGCGGCACTCAGAGCCCTCTATGTGGGCACATGCGCCATGCCCCGGAGATGGCAACTGTCCCTCTTCAATCAGCCGCCCACTAACTCGCTGAGGTCCCACGTGGCCGGATGCATCCCAGCACGACTGGTTTCCCTCCCCTCTGTCCCATCCCTCCTGGCCTCACATGCTCTCCTTTTCCTGGGCACGACCCACTGCATCGCCTCCTCAGCTGTCGGTGGCTTCTCTGAACTGCTAGCGGCAGGCTGCGGAGCCCCAGAGTGTGCCGGTCGATAGGCCAGCAGGCTGTGGCTGCTGACGGACACTGTCGGCCCCCATGCACTGGCTGGCCTCTGTGTGTGGGGGACGATGGTGTCAGGCAGCAGCCGCCCCGGCCCCTGCATCGCCTTGCCCTGCGACAATGGCATCCCTGCCCTGCCTCGCCTTGCCTCGTCTCACCCTGCAGAACGAGCCTCCTGCCCACCACCCCACCTGCCAGAGACCCCCTGGATCTCCCCCAACCCTGCCCGGCCCCCACAGGCATCCCTCCCCACGAGCAACATTGAGGTGACCACGTCCACCTTGGCCACACCCACCCACTCTGCCATGACCATCACAACCACGCCCACCCAGTGGGCCACGCCCACCTGGCACCCAGTGATAAATAAGTGAGTTTTGGGTTGTAGTTTGGGCACTTGGTCTCTAAAAGGTTCGCCATCCCTGATTTAGGAAATTTATGAATGGCAGAATGATAAGCAAAACCAACTAAAAGCTGATATACCAAAACTTTCAGAAATCTTTCAACTTCTCTCTTGCACAGACTTTGTACTTTTTTTCTACAGTGTTGTGTAATATGAAGATTTGAAAAGAAGCAGGCAATAACCTGCTCAAAACTATTAATATTACTTATTTTGTAGACGAGAGGCTTGCACATTGAATTTTTAAGAGACTGATCAAATTGGCATATTAGTTAAAGTAGTTCTGTATGTGAAAAGAACATATTTACTTTTGAAAGTATCTGAACAGGTTATATACAGCATCATATTCTGGTTCATAAATAGAACTCTATTTTTGTTTCTTTGTCTTTACAGGAATCTTTTGATCCTACTATGCAACTACATCTTGTACATCGAGCACCATGCACCATCCCTCCTTACATTTCAAAAAATCAATCTACACTTGGAGAGCTATTGCTAGGTTTCCTGAAATACTATGCTACAGAATTTGAGTGAGTGATCAACTTTTCATTTTAACAACTTTTCTGGTTGCTTTGTTCTACTCTGGTTGCAGTTTATAGATGAGTTCCAATTCTTCTCTATTATCATTTAAGGAGCAAAGGGTTCCTTTTTAGTAGCTTGTTTATAATGGAAAAAGAAAGCTGGATAGAGATAAGTTAAATGCTTACATGTAGAGACAGGCTTAAAATGTATGACATAATCTACTAGTTAGATTTGGCAGTCTCTAGTTCACAGTTGTTCAAATGGGTACAAGCCATATTTAAAGGAGCTCTGTTACACATCAACACCTATTCAGGCAGATGGTAATGATGGTGACACAATTATTTGGTATTATGTGCATTGCTATTTTATCCTGCTTTTCTATATCTAGAGAGGTACTATATCTTCTCTTGAAGTGTTTAAGATGGACTCATTAAGATCTGGATCATTCTGTCTGGCACTGTGATGCTGGAGTTCGTTTGTTTTTTCCTTTAAGGATACCTTATTTTGTTTTGGTGCTCTGTGCTTCTCACTGCTATTCAGCACCAAGTGCCATTTCTTAATTCACAAGGCAGTTTTCAGTGAAAGGATTCATAGGAATCTTCTCCATCATTGACACTTTATATGTGGAATTCAGCTCCCAAGATTCCCTGGTCAGTATGGCCATTGTTAAGAATCCCAGGAGATAGTTCATACATGTTGAGAGCACTTAGATTAAACAATGCTGTTTCAAAACGAAGTTGCTGCCTGATGTTGCTATGCATTTAGTTAATTGTGATTTCTTCATGGTGATTTGGCCTTTTGGTTAAGTTTGCAGTATGTAAGCCTGAACTGTTTGGCAGGATAAAAAATAACATCATAGCAGAACTGGAATTAATTGTACAGTGGCATCCGTTAAATACAAAGTAAAACATTGAAGCATGATGATTTAATTTTGCTCTCTTGTTGCATTTGAATCAAGTTACATGAGCTGTGTTTCTGCTGAGTTACATGTGGGTGTCTGGAACAAAAACTGTTTCTAGTTCACTGCCATTCTTTTTATTGCCTGTAAATAAATTCTGGAGAATAGTGTGGGAAGTGACCAGTATTTTCCGAGCTAGTTTTAAATTTATAAACTCCTTGGAATTTGCAACATTCATCTGTGCTTTGGAAGATACATGATGGCAGCAGGATCTGCCATGTTGTACTACTCCAAAACAGGTCTCCCATGTGACGATACAGAGGGTTTCTAAGACCTCTGGCCATCTAGCTTTTGGGTTTATATTTTTATTTTTAAAACGAAAGTATTGTCTTGTGCCTTGTACACACAGGCATAGGCATTTTTTTTCCTATTTTCTAAACATCTCTAAACTTGTTTAGCAAAGATAATAGAGGCTTGCATATACAAATGTTGTTTTTATTTCCAACTTGTGGGCTTAGATTAGAATGGGAGGGAATGCTCTAGAAATCTCCTGTATGTTAGTGGGAAGAAATTTATTTCTGCCTACCATCAGAAGACGTCTTGAGGGACAACTTGTCACATTCCGAAACTGTTGTACCTGCAACCAGGTCATCCAATCCAGCCACCTCAGTATGACCCACTGACCACATCAGTTAAAAAAAATAGGATGCTCAATTGATTATATAGAGGCCTTTGATTCAGTCATAAGCTGTGGGCTGCATTTAGAAAAAAGGGAATCTCAGAATATCTCATTTTCCTCCTGAGAAATTTATATTCGGGATTAAGGGACAGTTCTCCCCTCCCCATAGTCCGGTGTAATTTGAATTCAGCAGCCTTTTAAATTATTTACTTTCTCTTCCTGGATGCAGCAATTGTATTTCTATTTCTAAGGGACATAGATAGGAACTTGTGTTAAAGTCTAACTTTTCTAGGATGGTAGTCCACTCTAATATTTAAAAATCATTTCCAAATGGCTTTTACATGAAACTTATTACATTTTATTCAAAAACTTTAGACAATTATTTTCCCTTTCTGTTTGCTAGTTGGAACAATCAGATGATTTCAGTTCGTGAAGGCAAAGCTATTCCAAGACCGGATGGTATTGAATGGAGAAACAAATTCATTTGCATAGAAGGTAAATTCTACATCCTTGTCATAATTTATGTTTTCTAGAATTGTAAATTATCTGCTGATATAAAGTAATTGTTTAGTTTTTATTTATTTTTTTTAGAATTTTTAGTTTTGCTTCTGGGTGAGTGTAGCTCTGGGACTCATGGGCATTACATCAAGAGTGAGACAAGGCTTTCCACCTTTTTTTTCTTTTTGGTCCCTTCAAATCAGTTTTGATTGTAGGCAACTGCCTGCACTAGTCCTTAAAGTTTTCTTGGCATGGTTTTATTTCAGAAGTGGTTTGCCATTGCCTCCTTCCTAGGGCTAAGAGAGAGTGACTGGCCGCAGCTGGTTTTATGCTTAAGGCAGGATTAGAACTCACAGTCTCCCAATTTCTAGCCTGACACCTTAATCTCCAGACCAACTGGCTCCTTTGTACCTTTGTTGTACTTTAATTTGCTTGATTTAAACTGCCCAAAATAGGAAAAATTGGGGATGTTTGCAGACAGGTGCTGAGAGTAATATATAGGCCCTTGGCTGCCTACTTCTATATTACATGGACAAGGTAAGAGGAGCCTCAGGCTTATATATTCTTTCTCTCTATGTGGTTAGGAATTTAGTATTTTGATTTGTGGAAACCACTGTTTACCATTTCATTAAACAGGCTAACTATATTCCTCTCTGTTAATTTGTTTTAAATAATAATAATGTATTTATCCAAAATAAAAACAGCCCTCCACTGAAGAAAGTTAGAAGCAATATATATCATATGCCAAATTTTAATGTGGGAAGACAACATTCTGGAAAACTCTGGAATGCCCCCCTTTCCTCCAGACGATATTGAATCAACTTGCAGTTCCAGGGGTGGAAGTTAATCCTCCAAATCAGAGGCAGGTTCAGAACACCCTGAATTGTTCCGATTTCATAGGATTTACTTCTTGAAATCACACCAAGCCATTCCCAGAAAACACAGAATGGGAAGAGGTTCAGCATTATCCCAAGGGATATTAAATTGAATGGTGCTACTGGTTATAAATAATTTCTGAAGACCTTCCTGGAAAGCCATGTTTTCACCTATTTATAGAAGGCCTTATGGGTGGGCACTATATATGTACAACACTCTTTAAATGTGGTTACATTTTTGTTCCACTTTCAACTGTTGAAATGGGGAAATTATTTTTTTTTTGCTAGAAATGTCTTTTTAATAATAAACTAGCAAAAAAAATTAAAACATTCTAAATGTGTATTAATTAAAAATCTGTCTTTAGGGATAGATGTAATCAAGGGATATATAATCAATTGATAAAATGTACTGGAAAAGATCATTTTGACGTTTCTTTGCAAAATAAATTAAATTTAAAAACAGCATTGTGAAAATAGTTTTAAATAATGTCAATGATGCCAACAATTTTTCATAAGTGTATAAAGTTAGATAAATTGATATGTAAATATAAGTAAAATTATACATAATTCAATTTTTCCAGAACCTTTTGATAGAACAAATACTGCTAGAGCAGTACATGAAAAACAGAAGTTTGACGTTATCATAGATGAATTTCAAAAGGTAAAAGTACATACAATTTAATAAAACATTTTATTTAAGTTAATTGTATGTAACAATTGTTCCAGGAAAAGATTTTTGTCTGTAATAGACACAATGTATATATCTATTCTCTTCATTTTTTAAGACTGCTTTTCTGTATGTTGCTGACAATGACGCAACTTCCATTTCCCAAACAGTTACTCCAATATACCTGACAAATGCCTTTCAGTGTTGCAGTTTTCTTTCAATATGTTCACAATAATTCTTCTTTAATATACTTGTTTTTCCTTAGATTGACTCTTACAAATTGGTTAAGTAATTATTATGGCATCTTGTTTGACTATAGATTGATTTTCATTTACAAAGCGAAGAAATGTGTGAAGGGTTGACAATGAGGAATTCATTCTGTCAGTAATCAGTTAGTCAAAATCTTGCCTTTTGTTCATGTCCCTCTTTTCTCCTGTGTTCAGTGGGCTGAGAAAAAAATGACTGGCCCAAGTCACCCAAGACACCTTATGTTTGAACTTGTAGCTGAGTCTTCCTAATGCCAGGTTGGGGTTAGGCAATAAGTGATATCACCCCTTAAAATCTGAATTTCTAAATTGAAGTAATTTTACTGTGCAGTTCTGAATCCATAGAACTGAAAAGTTCTTTGTTTTTGAATTGCATTACAGTTACAATTTAATTGCCATGTTTCCCTGAAAGTAAGGCCTACTCCGAAAATAAGCCCTAGCTTGATTTGGGGGGATGGGCCTAATATAAGCTCTACCCCAAAAATAAGCCCTAGTTTTGGGGTGAGGCGCACACTTAAAAATCAAGCTAGGGTGGGGGTGGAGGTGTGGATCTACCCCATGTGCCACGCACCCATTTATCTTGCAGCCAGGCCTCTCCTCGCTGGCCCATTTCTTCTGCGGCCTCTTCTGCAGCCAGGCCTGCATTTCGCAGTCACAAGCCTTTCCAAAAGGCCTGCGCAGCCAAGAACCGAGCTATGGATTCAATACATAGCTCGGTTCTGCAAGACCTCTGCAGCCGACAATTCTGAAAGGCAGAGGCCTTCCAGAAAGGCCTGCCTGCAAAATGCAGGCCAGAATGCACCTGCAGAATGAAGCTTCTCCTTCGGCCCCAGAAGAAGTGGACCTGCTGGGCGGTGCTGTCGGTGCTGGAGGTGAATAAGACATTCCCTGAAAATAAGACCTGGTGCCTCTTTTGGAGGCAAAAAAAAAAAAAGACCTGGTGTTATTTTCAGGGAAACACAGGTACAAAATTACATTTTTTGTAATTACATATGTTTTGATTGACTTCTAATCCATTTTGGGAAGATTGGGGCAGGAAAAGGCTATAATATATTTAAAAAATCCTTTCCTCCCCCTTCTAAAAGTATTTTAATACAACATGAAGTTTTGCTTCTCAGAAACCATAAAGAGTTTTTATTAATGGAAACATTTAATGCAGTTTTATATGTCTTTGTTATGATTATGAGTACTAATATTCTTTTGATGTTGTATGATTTTAAAAGTATGGCTATACTATACTAACGTAATTGTATGATCTGTTCTCTATCCCGTAGTCATGGCAGAGGCTGAGAGACAGGAAGGATTTGAACTGTATACTGCCTGTAAGAGGAATTATACAAAAAAGATGATTGGCCTCTGTCTCACTAACTGGACTTTTCTGAAATACAGCATATAAATACATGAGATGCCCGGGATGTGATTTTTCTCCCTTCCCTGCTGCACTTTTTTTAAGAAGAGAATTTTCTTTCAGGTTTTTGGTAGGAAAATTTTTGTAAGAATTCAAAGAAGATTGCAACCTTTATAACATTAAATCAATTTGAACATTGGCTTCTGGAGTTATTCAATCAGTGACCAATAAAGAAACTACTGCTGTAATATGAACTTTGCAAAATCTGTTGCAGTTTGATTTCCTGTTATTATTTATTGTAGTAGTTTATGCATCCACACTAAATACTGAAACAGAAAGATGAATGTATGACAGCCAGCAGTGATAATAAAAGATATAATGGTGTACTTTTCCATAAGAGTAAGAAGTACAAGCCAGTAGGCCCTGCTTTACAACTACTAATTATAATATGCACTTTAGCTCATTCCAGTTTTAATACCATAGTAATAAACACCAGCTTTTAAGCAATATTAACAACTTAGTCCTGATTATTCCTATTGATCCAGGCTGATTCTCATTGAAACATGACTTGTATTTGGCCTATGCTAATTGCATACAAGAATCTATTTGATTAGATGTTGCTGTATACAAGAATGAAAATCTTCACAAAGAAATGTAAATATTGAGAAATATATATTTTTTATTTTGATTTGATTTGATATTTCCCAAATATGCAGAATTTTATCACAGGTAACATTCAGTAACAGGAGGCCCTAGCTGTTGTCTGAATTAGTACATCCCAAATATGCAATTATTGCCTTTTTGAAGAATTTCTGTCTGTGGAACCTTAGTTGAAATTTTATAACTAGGAGTTTACTAATATTTAGGCTGTAGTGTCAAATTACTATATTCTAGTGATCATGTACTGTAGTGCCTTCCTGAGGGAGTAAAAATAAACAAAACAGAAGCCTAGGTACTTCAGATCTGAAATTTTTGTCCTTTCCTTTTTTTTTTCAAAATGAAGTAGCAAGAGTTTGATGCTCCTTTCAGACCGGCTGTAGCTTTAAACTATTATGAAGCAGATGGAAAGCAAGCACAATCAAAAGTGATGGTCCCCTTAATTGCACTTCTGATATAATATGAAAAAATGAAAACCTGCAAAGGTTGTACTGCTGCCTGTACATCCTTGCTATATAAAATCCTTGCATCACTTCCTCATGCTTTGCGCCAGGATGTGGATCTGCCCTGAGTCAGGCTCTCAACATATTCTTTCTGTATCAATAATGTACTGATGATTGCTAATCGTAACTGCTACAATAACATTTTTTTTAAATTTTTGTTTCTATGTAAATATTAGAACCGCTATATAACTTGGGATTTAAAACAAATCTTAAATTTTAACTTTTTTTCTAAAAAGTTTAGGACTTCTTTTAGATCTGCTGTAGCACAATTTGTGCCTCTTATATTTATTGCAGACCATGTTATTATATGTTAACAAATAATTACTTTTCATTGGTGTCAACCTTGCATTTTTTTTCCTTTAAGTTTAAATGTTTTATTGTGTTAAGTGGAATAAAGTTTCTCTGTTGAAAATAAAGTAGTTTTGTTATACGGGCTTGTTTTCTTTCAGTCAACTGTTTAATTTCTTTTTCCTTTTCTTTCCCTAGCTTAAGCTACTAAAATAATTGTATTTAGCCTTGCACAATTTTGTCATTTTTGACCTTATTATATTAGAACATTGCACATTAGATTTGTGCAATCCTTGGAGTTTAGCGTGTTGTGACTTTTTCTCAGTTTTGGGTGATGGTTTTAAGGAGTTGCACACAGATGTTAAATTTATATCCTTCTGCATCCAAAGTGCTACACAGCTTTAATGCACAACCTAAGTGCAACATCTTGGTACTGAAGTTCCACTTTGTATTGTGAATGCAGGATAAACAACCTGCAGCTTTAGCTAATTTCACAAACCCTTAGAGCAGTGTTTCTCAACCTTGACAATTTTAAGGCATGTGGACTTCAACTCCCAGAATTCCACAGCCAGCAATGCTGGCTGTGGAATTCTGGGAGTTGAAGTCCACATGCCTTAAAATTGTCAAGGTTGAGAAACACTGCCTTAGAGCAATTCCACAACTCTGGGCAAATCGGTTTAGAGCTCTGCTGAGAGTGATTTCCCTGGTAGCCTACTGCTTGGAAGAAAAGTAAAAAAGAACAGTATTACCACAAAGAGCTATGTTTCTCTCCCTCCCTATTATGGCTCCACTTTTGAATTTGGCTCTCTATTTCCTGCCTCATTTTAGGTTCTGGATTCATCAGTCACACAGAGAGTACTAGTTTCTCTCTGAGGGCATCTAGCTGCTGAAAGTAGAGGAATTTGTGTGAAAGAGGCAACAGAGGTAGTACTATTGCCAAATGGCCCAGCAAATTGCATGGTTGATGCTTGGACATCCAATTAACATTTGTTATACTAGTGAATTTAGATCCAATATTGTCAGTTTTCTAGTTTAGCAATCACTGATAAGCCAAAATGCATAGAACCTGACTTTCCTTATAGTCCAGTACATCTCTGAATATTTGTATCTAGAAAAAAAAAATGACTTGCCAGAGTGTTCTCTTGTAAGAGTTACCATTTTCTGCAAGTAAGGGATTTTTTATTTTCAAATTTATGGCCTTTTATATAACCTTGTGCTACCTATTCAGTCTCAGTTTTGCAGAAAAAATACATTTCCAAGAGTAAGAAGCATAATGTAGTCATAGGCTTGAGCTCAGCACAGAAACAACTTTTATAGTTAATGATTTGGAAAGACAATTTTAATTACAACATGCAGTTTATTTTAGATAGGAGATATATGCAAAGGAAAAAAATTGATTGTGTATTTAAATTGATCACATGACCTGGGCTCCTCCAACCTACTTCAAAAACCAAGAGTCCCAAAAACAAGTAGTTCTTTGGACCGATCTTAGGGAAAGAATTGCAGCCTAAGTGTCCACCCTGATTGGTGATCTGTTTTGGAATAGACTCTTTATACCAATATGTCATTTGATACACTACTCAGTATCATTTGTGATTTTTTTTTAAAAAATGCAGTTTTTTTATTTTTTCCCCCACAAATGATACTGAGTCGTGTATCAAATGACATATTCACCAACCCCCGCCCCACCCCCACACCTTCAGGACCAATGATTAAAATATATAAATATAGTGAATCCAGTTATTCCCCCATGTGAGTAATTCCTCTCCTTTCTGTCACATAAAAATGTATTGGTAGCTTTTTTTGAAGGACTCAAGAAGCTGTACACAAGGTTGTGGAGACTTTGGATCTTTGTGTCTCACTCTCTTCACTGTATAGCGTCATGCTCATGCCTGGTGGAAAGTTGGAAATTGTTGCCATTTCATGTGTTATGTACAATTCCTCAATGAAGCAGTAAATTCAGATAGTAAGAAATATGATGGCCCTTAATGTTTAACCTGGTTGGTTACCTAATTAACAAAGCTAGACTTAGATGAGCAGTCTTTGTTGCAGTTCATTATTCACTTTACTGTTCTATTTCTGCATCTTTTCATTTTCCAGAAGGAATGAGAGATGGGAACTTAGAGTGCATTCAGCAATAGCTTTAGCCATCAAAATGATGGGATGTTTTAGCTCAGTGTTTCTCAACCTTGACAATTTTAAGGCATGTGGACTTCAACTCCCAGAATTCCACAGCCAGCAATGCTGGCTGTGGAATTCTGGGAGTTGAAGTCCACATGCCTTAAAATCGTCAAGGTTGAGAAACACTGTTTTAGCTGGACATAAGCTAGAAAGAACAACCAACTTGAAACTCCCAGATTCCATATTGGTTCAAGTTCAAAGAACCAGAGAGAAACCTAGGAAGAAAGAACAAATAATTTTCAGTTGAATACCCAAATGTACCTGGCCTGAGGAAAGAACACCATTAGCCTCCTAATTGAAGAAAGTGATCAATAACAAGGCTCTTTCCTCAAGAATGCAGAATCTCACCATCATTAACAGCAGCTTCAATTGACTCTTTCATATTGCTTAGCTACAACCAAATAGGACATGGGAAAATGTGAAATAGTTAGCAAGTTCCTATGAAGACTGGCCAGTTTCAGTAGGTTGTTGATTCATTGCTGAACAAGGGGAAATTAATGAGAAAGCTTGGGAAAATGTATGAAGTTTTAGGAAAGGCAGGATATAAATGGCAATAGCCTCAATCCAACGAGAGAATTTGCAATGTTCATTTCAGGTCAATTGAACCAGTTGTCCCTTGATTTTGATATATATGAAAATTCTACGATGTCCTGTGATTAAGCAGGATCAAGATCAGTGACTTCAGCTGCCTTCACTTTAGACTGTTTTGACCCTAGAAACAAGGTGGTGTTAGGACCCAGCATTCAGTCCAAGGTGGCAGTAGCAGTTTGTTTCAACTTTCTGTTCTATTTAAAGACTACTCCTGAGTCAGGAGAGCCACTAAGCTGTGGTGGGTGACAGTTTGTTTCTGGCACTCTGGAGAATATCAAGTAGAAGGGGGAAAACATAGCAGACAAACTACCTGGGGAGAAATGGAGGCGGACTGCGTCTCAGAATGTGATGAATCACTTGATATTTCTGTGGAAGATGAAGAGGAGGAAGAGGATGGATCACAGGGTGAAGAATTTAACAACAGGTATTGTTCTTCAAAGAAAATAAAAATCATCAGTGGCCAGATTGAGAAATTTTGGGAAACGGGACAAAGAGAAAGAATTTTATGCAAATGCACGAAGCCTTAGTGGAAATAGTGTGAAGAATGAGGGGGATTTTCATGGTAAATGTAAATGCAGCCGGTTGTGTTTGTCTGCACCAAAGGCATTTTTCTATTTAAAGATCTGACTTGAGCCCCTTGGATTTGGCATCTCCTCCTCCTCCTCCTCCTCCTCCTCCTCCTCCTCCTCCTCCCTAGCTGGGTTGTCAATGCATCTCAAACACATTTACTCTAAAATATACATGTGTACAGGAGGAAAATGTACAAGTGTAAAATGACAGAGAGTAAAAAAAAAGCTTGAATTTGTTCAGTGAAAATTATGAGGAAGTTCTGGGTAATGAAATATAGGAGAGAAGTTTGAAGTCAAGGGATCAGTATCTTTTAGGGAATGTTTCCATTTGTGTTTGGAGTCCGTAAACCAATTATTTTCCAGCAAGTTGTGTATGGCTTGCTTAGCCAGGTAGTATCTGAGCACCACCA